AAATTTTAAAAGGTTTCAAGTCACCAAGAAGTGTATACTTGGTTTCTGCCCATAATTCCTGACACAGAAACCCTAAAATTTTTGTAATTTCCTGAGTGATTACGTGCTAGGTACATCCTTTGTTCTAATATTTGGTCTTTGACCCCAATTCCTGACACACAGCTTTTCAATCCCTTGCAATGTTCTGGGAGCATTTCTCATTTTAATGAGGAGACTCAGTGGATTGGATTGTGAATAGCTTCGGGATAGGGCTGGTCACTAGAAAGACCTAGTCGTGATTAGAAGTGTGAATGTTCAGATCCAGCCCCTTTTATATAAGCTTATGATAAAGCTGATATAAAAATCTCTAAACTGCAAGGTTTGGAGAGCTTCTGGGATGGGCAAACATACCCATGTGGCACACCCCCCTCCAAGGGGCCCGAAGCTCCTATGCTTGGGAACTTTCTGGACTTTTCCTATGTATGTCTTCATCTGGATATGTTCCTGTAGTCCTTGGCATGTCCTTTACAGTAAACTGGTAAATGTAAGTAAAGTGTTTCCCTGCATTCTATGAGCTGTTATAGCAGATTACAGAATCCAAGGCAGGGTTGTGGGTTCCTCTAATTTGTAGCCGGATTGGACAGAAGTACAGCGCCAACTAGTTGTGGCGTTTGAGGTAGGGGGAAGTCTTGTGACATTGAGTCCTTCACCTGTGGGGTTTGTGCTAAACTATGGGTAGTTAGTGTCAGAACTGAAATAAATTGCAAGAAATCCAGCTGGTATTCACAGAGAATCGGGAGAATTTCTTAGTGTGAAAATGCCACACATTTGGTATCAGAGGTAAGTAGAGAGACAGGGCTTTATTTTATCTTCCAAAGGATGTCCTCCAGCCACATGGAATTATAAATTGAAATAAATAAGAGAAAGATTTATTGAAAGTTCCCAAACACTGGCAAACAACAACAAAAAGTCACACTTCTAAATAATCTTATGCAAAAGGAGAAACAAAAAAAGGAAATTTGAAAATATCTTGAACTCAAGAAAGATTGAAACCCAACATATCAAAAGCTGTAAATTGCGTTCAATTACAGTCCATAGAGGGAATTTATTATACTAAACACGCATATTAGAAAATTAAGTACATCAGCAGTTAAGCCCAGTCTAAGCAGAGAAAAAAGAAATCATAAAGATAAAAACAGAAGTTACTTAGTTGCATATCCTCATGCAAGAAAAAAATTCAAAACMCATCTCACTCTATGTACAAAAGTCAATTCAAATGGATCATAGACTTAAATATGAAACTTATATCTTTAGAKCTTTTAGAAGAAAATGAAGGAGAAAACCTTTGTGACTTTGAATTAKGCAAATATTTTTCAGATAAAGCAAAAATCAAGGTGCATAAAAGAAAAAAAAGAATTCAGCTTCATTAAAATTCAGAACATCWACTTGCAAAAGATCCCGTTAGAAKAAGGCAAAACAAGCCACATACAACATAATAAAGTTATCAGTTATTAGGAAAATGCAAATTAAAACCACGATGAGATACCATGACACATCTATGAGATGCCAASAATTAAAAACACTGACCATACGCAGTTCTGGGAAGAATGTGGAGGAACTGCAAATCTCATAGATCACTGTTGAGAATGTGAAAAGGGAAACTACTATGGAAAACTATTCAGCACCTTTTAAAGAAGTTAAASATCTAAGCTACCATTTGCTCAAGAGAAATTAAATCAGGAATTCATAACAAGACTTGTACAAATGTGATAGTAGCTTCACTTATAAAAGGAAAAGAAAAAAGTTCCCAAATGGCCATCAACAGGAAGATAGGTAAATTGTGGTAGCCACACAATTCTATTCCAATAAAATTCCAATAAAAAGGCATGGACTGTTATTACAAAGTTGGATTTTAAAATAGTTATGGTGAGTGAAAAAAGTTGGTAAAATAACATACGTATGATATGATTCCATTTATACAAAACTTTAGAAAATAAAAATTATAGTGACAGAGCAGATCAGTGATTGGGGATTGGGATGGAACCGTGGAAGGCTAAGCAGGAGGGATTTCCAGTAGGCACCATGAAATTTGGAGGATAAGGGATGTATATATTATCTTGATTGATATAATGATTTCACATRTCAAAATTTATCAAATTGCATGTTTTACACATGGACAGTTGAGTATTTGTTAATTATAATAAAAATGTTTCCAAACTATAGCACCACAGATGTTTTTAGTATTTTCTTGATACTAATATTTCCATAATTTCAACTTTTTAATATTCATATATTTTAGGTATGTATTTTGGAAATAGTCCAAATTTTTGGAAATAGTTCAAAAATAGATTTTACAGCATATACTATCCACTTAAATACCTTTTGGTTGTTTTATAAATGAATGCAGACTGGGAATCTAAATCTTTTTTCCTTCGCTCTTTTTAGTGTTTTTATTAGTGCATTAGAACTATGCATAATAGTGGGGTTMATTTTGACATATTCATATATACATATGACATGATTTGATCCATTCCAATCTCCTTTCCCTCCCCCCAATCTCTTCCTCTACTCTATCGGTCTTTAATGGGTCTAGAGTTTAGTTCCTGTGCATTCATTATGACATATTTGAGTTGTTTTGTGATGTATTATTTGATTCTTTTAGTTTTTCTTATCTCTCTCTCCCTTCCTTCTTTTTTCCTCTTCCTTTTCTTTTCTCCATTTGTATTAATTCCCCAAAGTCATATTAATATTTTTACTTTTTATTTTAACTTTTTCTCCTGTACTTGTTCAGAATTATACACACTTTTGTTTATCCTAGAAATGTTAACATAAATATTTGAACTTAACAAAGTCTAAGATGACATAATACCTTCASTCTCTCCCGTTGAATATAAAAACCTTACTCGTGATGGTTGTCTCCTCGAGTGTGTATTCATTTCCTATTTTATTTTGCTATGTGGACACAGGACTACAGCTTTTTAAATGGAATCTTCAGAGCACAGTGGGAGCAGGGATTCCAGGTTTTAAATTGCARTAGGATAGACTTGCTGTGATAGTTTGGATGTGAGATGGCCCCCAAAACTCATGTGTGAGACAGTGCAAGAAGGTTCCGAGAAGAAATGATTGGGTTGTGGCAGCCTTAAATCAATCAGTGAATTACTCCCCTGATGGAGTTGACTGAGTGGTAACTGMAGGCAGGTGGGGAGTGGCTGGAGGAGGTGGGCATTGGGGGCGCRGCTTTGGGGTATATATTTTGTATCTGGAGAGTGGAGTCTCTCTTTCTTCTGTGATCATCATGTGAGCTGCTTCCCTCTGCCTCATAATCCGCCATGATGTTCAGCCTCACCATGAGCCCTGAGGGATGGAGCGGCCTTCATGGACTGAGACCTCTGAAACAGTGAGCCCTCAAACTTCTCCTCCTCTACAGTTGTTCTGGTTGGGTCCTTTTAGTCACAGCAGCAAAAAAGCTGACTAACACACTGGTGGTTAGGGGGTCCTCAGGGAGGGCTTTGCTGTCCTTACCCTTCTGTCWGAGCCAGAACTGCGTTAGGCCAGTTTCCTGCAGGGTGAGCTTTCTTTTTCTCCCTAGTTCATCCAGCAAGGGTGCTGCCCTTCAGAAATTCTATGTGGGGTCATGGATCTGATTTCTCACCCTGTTCAGGCACCAAGCTATGTCTCTGGACCCTCACTAATGTGCCTTTGGTCTATTTCTTGTACATTTTAATCAACCACAACTGGAATAAGTCCTGTATTCTTCAGCTTTCTGGCAAATGGTACAGTAACTAAGGATGCAAGTTTGGGATTCAGAATGCCTGGGCTGAGACCAAGTTATGGCTTGGTTCTGGAATGTTCCGCAAGGGCTCATGTGTTGGAAGCTCCATTCCCAGGACAGCCATGTTCAGAGGTGGGGCTTTTGTGGTGGTTAAATCCTAAGGGCTCTGACTTAGTGGATTAATCCACTGAGGCATTTGAAGCTGAAGGGATTATTGGGAGGTGGGGAAACTGTGGGAGGCAAAGCTTAGTTGACGGGAGTAGGGTCCTTGGGGGTGTGCCCTTGGGGACTGGATCTTGTCTCCATTCCCCACCTCTCTCTGTTCCCCAGCTGTCATAAGGTGTCATAGGTGAGCCGTTTTCTTCTGCCCTGCCCTTCTGTCATGTGGTGCCTTGGAGCCAGCTAACCATGGACTGAAGCCTCTAAAACAGCAAATTGAAATACGTCTTTCTTCCTTTAAGTTGTTTTTCTCAGGTGTTTATCACAGTGATGAAAAGCTGATTAGCACMSCAAGGCTGCMYTCCTRTGTCTTTATTGCTGGGACATTAGGGAAATTAGTTAAAATCTCTGGACCTCAGTTTTGTCACATGTAAAGGGAGGGACAATATGGTACATGTTTCATGGCGTTACTGGGACATTAAATAAGTTAATCCATTTAAAGAGTTTAGGATAGTACCTGACATTTAATAATAGATTAAATAAGCTACTGTTATAGTCACTATTTTCTGGTAAAAAAATACATTAAAATTATATTGCAGACTCTTCTACAGAGGAGTTAGTGCCRCATCATATGAACGTTCAAAATTAAGTTTCAACTTATTTCAAGGGATCTTACACAACCTATTCAGATCTGAATGTAAACAGCTGTTTTCCTCCCTGACAAGATAGCCATCATTTGTTATCCATTGTTTCTGTTTTTCTCTGTTTTAGGAAAAAAATATTTCTCAAGGTGAGATCTTTGATGTCGATTTCCAATTATAAATTAGTGCTACATGCTGTTGGAATAGCCCAYGCAACTACACAAAGAAATCCTCCCACCTAAACACATCATCACATAYTGTTTTTGAAGGTGAAGATGATGCYGGCGACTGGCTCGTTGTAACTGGAGTCAGACAACATCAGCCTATGTACGTCCACCCCTGGACAATCACCACTAACACACAGGATGGCATTGCTCTGTCAGGAGCATTTGAGTCAAACTGACTCCAAGTTTCCTCCCCAAATAACACAGRTCACACCTCTTAAATACCTGGTGAATGAAGCTTGGTGGTAGAAGCTGCTGTTCTCTTAGGAGATGAAACAGTAGGTTTATTGGCATCTTGATCTTTTTGTGCTTCTTTCTTTGCTCCTGCATATATGTTTTGAGAAGAGAAATAGAAAGGAAAAGCTAGTTACAATTCAATGGTCAGGGAGCATGCATTKTGCAAAGGGCAGTTTAACAGAACAATAATAACAAAATATGTGGATGATTTGTTGCTATGGTCACTGCCCCCTGGYTTGGAGGGATGACATATGTGTTTATAGCGAAGGGAATTTAGTTTTGAGTGGTCAGGGGAAGGATCATACTGCTMTCTCTGGTTTGATGAAAAATGCCCCCTTCTCTGAGGTCACTGTCACCTCAGTGACCCTCACAAAGTATCTGGAAATTAAAATTTTACTGTCCTKAGCCAACAACTTGGTCTGCTGGCCTCTCGGCTGAAACAATTTTTCAGAAGACAGGAAAGGAAGCTGTAGCTAAATATCACTGCTAATGATTTCAGCATCCTCCGGAGCCCGGCCCCAGGGGACACAGTCTGCCTCTAATTAATTTCCATGCAGCTGGTCCACAGAGGTGACCCAGAGAGCCTTCTAGCTCTTAGGGGCAGTTGAGACTTCGTGGAACCTGAGCACAGGTGGTATCTGGGAACAGCAGGTGGATGTGCCTCAAATCATGTCAGGGGCTGACGTGACACAAGGTGGCTTCTCCCTTGTGTGGTGGCCATGACACTTGCCTTCATGTCACTTTCATTGCAAAATCAAAGAACAGGATGGAARATTAGCAAAATCACAGACGTAAGTGTCCCCAGACCTGCCTCTGCTTCACCACTATCATTCTGAATACAAAATTTGGGATGGTGTCAGACACAGAATGGGAATGTCTCCCAAACCCAACATCCAAATTGTCCTTTCCAGAGTAATGAATGCTAGCAATTTGGTGTTTATTTCCCCTGAACTTTTAATAAGTATTCATAAATTCTTACAAACACAGCTACTGGCTAAATAAATTAATCAAACACAAATTTCTTTTAAACCAATCACATTTGTGGAAGATATTTTACATCAGTCTATTTACAGATCTTTTTGAAGTGCCACATCATATTCATTTTACCACCCTCCCCTGGATGAATGTGTAGATCRTTTATAGGTTTTACCTATCAAAATAACTAAATGTGCTACAGGAAGCATTCTGCTAATCTCTTTGTACATGTGCGCCAATTTCTTTAGTGGATAAATTCACAGACACAATTTTGCTGGATTATGGGTCTACTCCTTTGCAATGTGCTAGACAGCACAACTTTCCACCCAAAGGATGCACTAATACATACTTCCAAATGGCAATGTGTAAGAACGACTCTTCTGACAACATACCCCATGCCTCACCAATATTGAAGTCTAAATCTACTTTTGCCACAAACCAAGAATCTTCACATATTGGTCATATGCATTTCTTCATTTGAAAATCACCTAATTACACACAGCTTTTTTWAATAACTACTTTGCCCATTTTCTTATTAATATGTAAGAACTCTTCATTTATTCTAGGTAGCAATCCTTTATTATTTCATAGATAACATTTTCTGCTTTTCAGTTTTTAAAACATATTTATAGTATCTGTAGTTWAAAATTTTCATGTTGAAATATGTCAATTTTCCCCTTTACAGATTTAAAAGCACTATTACAGATTTCTATGGCAATCTGTAATTTACTTATTGTAGGGCTCTGGAAGGTTGGTATTTCACTTCTCCACTCCTCAGAGGTCCCAGGCACACATGAGGATATCCCACATGGGGCTAACATCACCCATCTCTGCGTCCCTCTGCTTTGATTTTAGGTATCAACAAATGTGGAARGATATCATGATTCCTGAGAACTGAGAAGGGAGATATGTTAAAGGCCAGATATCCACCAAACATGCTTCCTAAAAAARGAACATGAATATTTATTTAGCCTTTCAGTATTTTCCATTCAGGTTTCATGGAGTACAATTTATGGCCTTAATTAGAAATTTAAATATTGAACCATTTGACCCTGCAATTCTTCTTTCTTTTTCTTTTATCTTTTCTTTTCTTTTTCCATTTTGAGAAGTTCTGGGACTTTTATACATAATGGTACTATGGCACTTACAATTCAATAGGAAGCAAGCTTCCGGAGCATAGGATCTGGCCACGTGTGATGATGGATAGAGCCTTATGCTTCACACTAAATAGCACTCATTATATACCCAATGACCTTGCAATTCTATTTCTACCAATGTCTTCTTGAAAACTTCCATAAGTGTGCAAAGATSCACACTCAAAGACATGGATCACATTACTTACGAAAATGAAGATTTGTAAATAACTACAAATGCACATTGGAGAATGATTAAGTAACTTTTGGCATATCCAAACCATGGAATAGTTTTACTATTAAAACTACCATTAAAAATAATGAGGCAGCCCTGTAGTATACTGGCATGGAAAAATAGCCATAATAACAAAAACATTAGTTGTTGAACAGAATGCATTATCCCATGTTTATAACACAAAATGTCATCTGAAAGACCTGCAAATTTTTTAATAGTGGTTACTTCTGAACAGTAGGATTGAAGGGCTTTTACTATTTAGGTCAATATGCTTCTGCAGTATTTCTATTTTTTTATGATGATCACACATTACTTGTATAATAAGAAATAAAAACAAAAAAAAAAGAGAAATGAAAACCTAAATGAAAATAATTTGTCTGATCCATGAAAGGACAGGAGACACCAGTCTCGTTTAAGCCATCCTAGAGGAATAGCTTTGATGGAGAGTTTCATGTTCCTTCTGCCAACAAACCTCCCTATAGGACACAGGCTGCCTGGCGGGGGAGGGGTGTGCCTGTGTGGTTATGGGATTCTTGATGGTCCAGAGAATTAAAACCATTAGTCAAGACAGTCCCTTCCTCTTGCAGCCTTCTTCAATTTAGATTCATCCTAAATGTTTTCTAGGTCCACTGTAAGCCACCCTTACATGGGGTGCTGAGTGTCTAGTAATGCTAGTGTGGTCCTTGGTCTCATGGCTTTCCCATTGTCCTTGGTCATTCTCTCTCAGTCTCCKTTGCTTCTGTTTCTTTCTTTTCCTGCCCTTGAGCAAAAGTATCCCAGGCTGCTGCCCCAGCCTTCTACTGTCTCCTCTTCTGAGTGAGCTTGTCCACTCAACTTGCTTGCACCACTGATGTATATACACCAGTGGCTACAAAATCTGTCATTTTCAGTGCGGGTAGACCAGACATCTCCCCTGAGATCTGGACCCGTTTCCACTACACAGACATCACCACTAACCTACAAGACGACAAAACCATCATGACCCAAATGGACCTCCCAAATCAGCTTTTCCTTTCAGCCCTCTTCCTGAGTCATCTTTCCTGGTCCACTGTTCCCCCAGTCACCGACACCAGAAACCATTTGTCCCCATCTTTATCCTCCCACATCTAAGCAGTCACTGGGTCTTCCTGCCTCTGCGTCTGTGGTGGTGCCTGAATCTGACCCTTGATTCATTCTCACTGTTTACCTAGCTCACTTCTCCCATCATTTCTTGCTAGGACAACTACAAAAATCTCCTGAGTGGTTTCTCTGACTCRTGTTTTACCTTCTTCATCTTTACCTAACTCATCCTCCTTCCCACTGTCAGAAGGATCTTCCCAAATCATTAACCAGATTACATGTGTTTATTTTCAAAAGCCTTTCCAAAGCTTCTCATGGTCTAGGAAGTCCCAACTCTATGGCATGGGCTARGTGACCTCCAGGATCTCATATCCTTTGCCCCTTGCCCCATCTTTCATATCACAGATCCCGGCCTGCAGTGTCATAATCTATGTTTCTCCCTTAAGCTGAAAGGTTCAGCCTCTCTTGGGTCTGCCTGGTCTGCTGCTCAGTCTCATATTCAGCTTATTTTTCTTATTGGAAACCTCTGTATTCGTTTCTTATTGCTAGTGTAATGAAAGACTATAAACAACCCAAATTATAGGATGCAGGRGTGCACACCTGTAATTCCAGCGGCTTGGGAGGTCGAGGCAGGAGGATTGTGAGTTCAAAGCCAGCTCCTGCAAAGTTCTAAAGCAAGTCAGTGAAAGACTCTGAGTCTAAATATAATATACAAAAGGGCTAGGGATGTGGCTCACTGGTTAAGCACCAGTGGATTCCATCCATGGTACCAAAAAGCAAAAGCAAAAGCAAAATCAAAACCAAAAAAAAAAAAAAAAAAAACCCAAATTTACTCTCTTATATTCTGGGGATCATAAATCTGAGATCATTCTCACTGGGCTAAAGTCAGTGCTTCAGCAGGACTGGTTCCTTCTGGAAGCTCAAGAGGAGAATTTTTTTTTTTAAGCTTCTAGTGACTTCCTTTGTTCCTTGGCTCATGGTTTCTTCTTCTGTGTTCAGAGTATATCATCCAATCCCGGCTTCCATCAGCACATCTCCTCCAACTCCTCCTGATTCCCTCTTAAAAGGATGCTTCTGATTACACTGAGCTAATCTAGATAATCCAGGATAATCTTCCTGTTTCATAATGTAACTTAATCTCATCTGCAAAGTCCCTTTGCAACACTCAAAGATTCTAGCAATTAGCACATGAAGTTATTTGGGGGTCATTATTCAGCCTATCACAACTTCCCCATCTAACTGAATGAAATAATGAAGAAACTCTTTTTACTCATAAAAAAAAAAGAAGAAAGCACTAACCGCTTGGTCTGTCTTAGTTCCTTATGTTCCGAAAACTTATTTATGAAACTTTTTCTAMCTTCCTTGACATTTCTTGCATAGCAATCTTTCCTTAGACTTTAATCAGCTTTTTTTTTGTTTGTTTTTTTTAACTTTCTTTCCCCTTGCAGTTTACACGTATCTTGCCTGGTCTGGCCAGCTTCTTTTAACAGTATCCATGCTGACCTGGGGAATCCACCTTTTCCTCTCCTTGATGCACGTGGTTCAGTGGGGCTGACCCACCTGGATCTGGAGGTGGGCMTGTGGTCCAGACCTGCCTAATCGGAACTCGGCATCACTCTGGCATTATATTATGTCTTAGTTTGAGAATGAAAACAAGATCTAAACCGGAACCATGATTCCTGCCT